TTTAATTAAGATGGATCCATTGTGATTTCAGTGTAGTTTTTGTCTGAGCTTCATACATTTATCACAGACTGCCTTAACAATACTTAACGAGTTATAGCTGCACTTTCTGCAAGTGTATGCAATTAAATTCCAGTTTATGAAAGGTAATGGAAAATGAAATATTGTTGCTTTTTTAATGCAGAGGCAGGTGTAATGAATGGGCTCTGGCACACAGTAGTCAAAGTATGTTAACCTGCATCTGGAAATCTTGCCTCCCACTCTACCCCACTCCCCTAACAAGTTTTAGAATTCAGGATAATTCACTTCTTCCTTTTTGTCTTGCTGATATGGCAACAGCAGTGAAGTGGGAGGAGACTTGTGCTTGTGTAACCACCACCAGGTGGATTTGAACCTGGGACCTCGGAAGTTTAGTGTAGGAGTGGTTCACTCTTCGATAAAAAGACAAGCAGCATAATTCAAACCTTGAATGTAATAGGATAGAGGGGAGGCCATTCTTGCCACTTTTGTTCACCATCAGCTGGACATGTCCCTGCACACCAGGGCTATGTCTAGACTGGCATGATTTTCCGGAAATGCTTTTAACGGAAAAGTTTTCTGTTAAAAGCATTTTCGGAAAAGAGTGTCTAGATTGGCACGGACACTTTTCTGCAAAAGCACTTCTTCGCGATCGGGGCTTTTTTGCGCAAAACATATCTCAGCTGTCTACACTGGCCCTTTTGCGCAAAAGTTTTGCGCAAAAGGGACTTTTGCCCAAATGGGAGCAGCACAGTATTTCCGCAAAAAGCACTGATTTCTTACAGTAGGAAGTCAGTGCTTTTGTGGAAATTCAAGCGGCCAGTGTAGACAGCTGGCAAGTTTTTCCGGAAAAGCAGCTGATTTTTCGGAAAAACTGGCCAGTCTAGACACAGCCCAGTGGTCACAGAAGGCCACATCTAGAGAATGCGTTTGGGGGGTGGGTAGGAGTTAAAGATGGGTCCTTTCCTACAGATTTTTCTTCTTCCGTGCTCCCAGGAAGGAACCAGGTTCTCAACAGAAGTCTGACTGTCAAAAGCTCACGTAATAACTCCGACTGTAAATGAGATCACCAACAGCTCCAACTTCCTCCATAATCCGCCCATTAGGTGAGAAGAGTATGCTTATATCCTTCTTTCCAACATACCTTGCTGTGGAGGCCTACAAATCCCAATAACCCCTTGAACTATATTTCCAGGGAATTCTTCTGAATGAGTGAAGAGCCTTGTACTATCTACATCAGGGTTCCAGAACTGGGCTTTAGACAGAGTCAGAAGCTAGGCCTCTCTCTCCAACTACAGACCGCCACCCTGGGATATTTCATCAACTCTGGGGCTGTCTCTTGTGCCCCTGGGCTCTGTTTCTGCAATATAACCCCTGGCACAGGGTAGTATGGCACCAGGCACTTCTCTCTTCACTCTTAGGCTTAGACTACACTGCAGGGTTTTTGCACAAGAAGACATTTACGGAAGAATTCTTGCACAAAAACGTCTTGCGCAAAAGCGCGTCCAGACCTCAAAGCGCATCGCAGAAGCACAAGAGAGCTTCCACACTGCATGGACAGTCTTGTGCAAGAATGTTCTGATTGCCATTCACAGAATGGCCATCAGAGCACCTGAGCTTTTTCCGATAGGGGTTTCTTGCACAAAAACCCCCCTGGAGCATCCACATCTGCCTTTTTGCACAAGAGCTATAGCTCAAAAAGGAGTTATTCTTTGTGGGGAGAGGAATAACTCTATTGGCAAAATCCCTCTGTTCTGTTGATTTTCTTGTGCAAAAATGCACTTGAGATATAGATGCTCCATTGCTTTTTGCACAAAAATGGCCGTTTTTGCAGAAAAACCTTGTAATGTAGTCATAGCCTTAAAGGGCTATTATATCGCTTTTAGAGTCCTCAACAAAGCTGCCAGCAAAGGATCTCCACTGCTTACTATGTCCCTGGATAGAAAACCCCTTGCATTCCCAGATACCATCACTCAGTATAGGTGATCTGCTGGAGCATGGAGGTCAGAAATCTCCTTGTGCCTTGTATATGGGCAGTAAAGTCCCCTCCCTAGCAGAAAATTCCTGCTCATTCTGGTCTCACCACTGCAACTATATTGCCCATTATCAACAGCTCACATGGGGAAGAAGAGGAGTCAATCCCTTACCCCATCTTAAGGCAACCAGCTGTGTGATGATAAATGGCTTCTCAATGAGGGCCTTACCATACGTATAAGCTCATGTTTAGAAATTAAGAGAGCTCATCTTCAAGAAGTACTTGATGAGAGAGACATGCGGACTATGTGGGTAGTATAAGATTGAATGTGGCTGAATATTTCACTGTCCTCAGTTTTTCTCTTCAGGCTCATGTGATGGCTTCCTTGTTGACCATCACAGCAAGGACTGAAGCAAGGACCTCTAGAGCTCAAATCCTGAGCAAAAGAGCCAAGTCTTAGATCCTCAGGGAACAGCTTTGAGGACTACCTCTGGAGCACACCTTCACCAGTATGTTATGCTTGCACACAGCATATGGTGTCAGAAGTGAGTCCGCTCCTGCAGGTATGTAAAATCAGAAACCAAGAGATGGGGGAAGGAGGGACACAATAATCATGGCAGCATGATCCCTATCCTCGAGCAGATGGACATGAAGGGGGGGGGGGGTGTTTAGCGCTTGGCTGTTCCATAGAACTCAGTGGGGAAACTACAAAATTGCAACAGGAATGAATAAAAATGAAAGCAAAATAAGAGCAGCTATGCTATTAGCTGTAATTGGCAAGGGCTGCTATGCGCTCCAGCAGCATCTGGCTAGGTCAGCAGCAGACCAGGAGGGCTCATGTAAAATCACAGAAGCGCTCCACAAGTGTGTGCAATCCACAAAAACGTCACATACAAGAAGTATATTTTCAACAAGTATAATCAGAATCTGCAGACATAGTAGACCAGTATATTGCCAAGCAATGAAAAGCGATTGATTCTTTAATATGAAATCTTAACAGATGCGCTAATTTGGGCTAGATTAGTAATAGGGATGAAGGATGTAGGAGCTCCAAGAAAAATGGTCTGGGAGCCCACACTAACTACCAAGTGCTATGGACATGCAACTCAGAGAACAAGCTCACACCAACTGCAGACAATAAGTGGAGCAGACACAGAAATAATCACCAATAACACAAAAGGAGCATGAATATATAAGTAAAAGCACACCACAATTAGTGCAAAGGGAAATGCAAAAGTTACAAAGCAGAGACAACAAACTAAATGCAGCCTCTGGGCACTATAGAGGAAAACATGTTGACAGAAAATGTCCAACATATGGGTCAAAATGGGTAGAGCCAGTAGCACCACCTGTTGTTAAGGTTGCTCAATGCTTCCCATTATAGTACCTTCTTTGTAATTGGCTGTGTCTACATTGGCACCCCTTTCCAGAAAGTAGGAATAAGGGACCTTCCGGAAAAGGGCTTATTTTCCGCAAGATCCCATCTAGACTGGAGCTTTTCTCCGGCAAAACCCCGAGCCGGAAAAAAGCGTCAGCCATATTCATGCAAATGCCGCGGGGGATATTTAAATCCCCCGCGGAATTTGCAATTCCGAAGTGTCTCATTAGCATCCCTTTTCCAGAAAGGGCCAGACTGTTTGAGCTGAAATTTTCCAAGGTAGGTATCTGACTCTCATTTAATTTGTCTGGAAAATGCAATAGAAAATCGACCAGCAATTTCTGAAAACAAGGCTATGGAAAACTCAGTTGTTTGGCGTAGATTCAAAAATTCTGACAACCTTTTCTTTGAAAAGCTCTAGTGCCCTATTGCTTTGAAGTAGGGCTTTGACATTTTGTAACCAGGTTACCAGAGATGTGTCTGTTGCTGTCCTCATGAAAATTCACCCAAATGTGGACAAATTATAAGCCTCTGGAAAAATCAGAGTTCAGAAGAGACTTCCTAGAGGTTAAGCAGCTAAATATCCTAAAGATTCCATCTGCAATGGACATGTCCCAGCCTGAGCAAGACTTGCCTTAGAATAATAGAATATTAGAACTGGAAGGGACTCGAGACCAGTCACCTGCCTCACGGCAGGACCAAGCACTGTCTAGATCACTCCTGATAGGTGTCTGCTCTGAAATATCTCCAGTCATACAGATTCCACAACCTCCCTAGGCAATTTATTCCACTGTTTAACCACCCTGGCAGCTAGGAGGTTTTTTCTAATGTCCAGCCTAAACCTCCCTTGCTGCAGTTTAATCAGGGCTTTTTTAAGAAAAAAATAACCTAGAAAATTACACATTTAAAATATCTTTATTGGGTTTACAAAATACTCAAAAGTTAGGAAGTGGCAGAATTGCCTCTGCAATTGAAATTTGGCTGCCGTGTTTGCATACATTATGGTACACCCTTTAATTACATTATTATATACTCCCCTCCCCCAGGACTCATGTCTCATCCAGTGCCCCAGAGGGATCTGCTCTGGGGATGAATCAGTGTTGTGTAGTAAAGAGGTTGTTGACTGTAAGATCTCTGCCTTATTTGTTGCAGAAGTAGGAAAGTGTGTAGGGCTGGCAGAAAGAGAAAGGATGGTCTCCTGGTTAAGGCAGTTCAGTGTTGTCCTGGAAAACTGGACCCTCTCTTTGTCTCACCTCATCTGTAAAATGGGATTAATAGTCCCCCTCACCTCACGGGGGTGTTGCAAAGATAAATTCATTCGTGTTTGTGAAGAATTCAGATACTATAGTGAGGAGCACCATACAGAAGACACATACGCAAACCAAAGGCAGAGCAGACAATGCACAGTGGTGTCCCTGCAGCAAAGCTGGTAAATACATTACTAAGACATTTTGAAGGACTGAGATAATTTCTAGGACTGTTGCATTTGAAAATGGATAAAACAGGCAGGACAGCACTTGCCCCAAGAGTACCCATTGCATTATGAGAAAAAAAATAACTGAAGCAATAAAGCAAATGAGAAAAGAAGGCCTCATTGATAATGTCATAGAGTCCACAAGCTGCATACGCAGCATGGTAGCCAGAGAGAAGCCAGGCAAGCTGAACAGTTTCATGGACTCAAGCAATTTAAAGGAAGCACTAAAAAGAGAGCTCACTACCAAGTGCCTACAGATGAAGAAATATTACCTGACTTGGCAAAAGCAAAAATATTCTCAGTACTTGATGCCAAAGACAGATATTGGCAAGTGCTTCTGGATATGAAAAGCAGCTACTTCTCCACATTCTGGACACCAGCAGGCAGCTACTGATGGTTGGGAATGCTGTTTGGACTCAAACCTGCAGTGGAAATATATCAATACTGCCAGATAGACATGCTAGCAGGACTGGAAGGGAACAGCATCATAGATGATGACATTCTGGTGCACAGACACAGTGACAGCATGGCAGAAGCTTTGGCAGATCACAACCACAACCTCATCTGCCTGCTAGAAAGAGCCAAGGAAGTAAGTCTAAAAATAAGTGAGAGATAGGACTGGGAGAATCGCTCCTACAAAAGAGAAATCTGGTAGCTTTCATGTCAAGGTTCCTATCACCAACAGAACAAAGAGATGCTCAAATTCAAAAAGAATGTCTTGCTGCTGTGTTTGCATGTGAAATGTATGACCAATATGTTCAAGGATGGGAAGCCATTCAAGTAGAAAGGGGCCATTAACTAACTGCTAAAAAGTATTTTTTAAAAGCCACTGCTTGCTAGGGGCCCCCAAATTGCCTTCAGCCAGTGATACTGAAACTGCAGTTATAATTTAGACATATGCTACAAGAAAGAGACTGAGATACACACAACTGACTTCTTATTCAGAGCAGGCTTGTAGCATGAAAAGATGGCAACTGAACAAGAATCAGACCCTCAACCTGAGAGAAATATGGAAAACACAGAAAGACAGAGAAAGCATCAACCATGCCAGTTATGTGCCAGTTTTAAGAAGCTGAGGAGAAACTATAAAAGACAGAAATGTACAAGTGTTCATTGCCATCTTTCTGCAAGGATGGCGCATCCATCAGTGGAGAAGCTGTACTCACTTCTCAAGAATACTGGCACTATTGAGGCAAACAGGGCATCCCAGACATCAGTCAAATCATAACATCCAGATCATAAATGACAGAAATTCTCTCAAGAATACATCAGAGCCTTTCTGAATGGAAGACTGTATCTGGAAAGCCAGAGACTCTGTATATTGACCAGATTTCAGAGACATGGAAAGAAGTTGAGATACTTGTGTGTAAGCTAAGCAGCCAAAAAAGACAATTAAAATACTCAGCATTTCCAATAGACCATGGAGCAAAACAGAAATGGATCTTTTCTTTCAAACCACACAAAGTCCATCGTCGTTACAGATAAAAACATCCTCTGGCAAGTTATCCAGCAGGGTGTTTGGGTTTTTGTTTTTTTTTACTGCTAAGGGGATCAGTCAGTTCTGGATAAATTCATGGAGGTTAGGTCCATCAATACTTCTTAGCCAGAATGGGTAGGAATTGTGTCCCTAGCCTGTTTGTCAGTGGCTGGAAATGGATGACAGGAGAAGGATCACTTGATGATTACCTGTTCTATTAATTCCCATGGGGACACCTAGCATTGGCCACTATTGAAGGACAGGACACTAGGCTATATGGACCTTTGGTCTGACCCAGTATGGCCAGTCTTATGTTCTTATGATGAAAGGGAAATTGCAACCTCTTCTGCACTTCAGTCTCAGACCCTGAACTTGAGGCAGCAAAACCCCAAATACCTTCCTAAGACCACTTCCTCTTTTGTGGTAAAAGCAAATTTCTGCTTCTCTCTTCTTCCCTCCTTCTATGGGACAGAGCATAAGTAAAGTGGGCTGGAAACAGCCACAGGCTTTAAAATGCTTCCTCTTCTGCACAGGAGAAAGTAGAACCTTTAAACTAGCAGTAACAACACAATCTCAAAACAAACAGCAGACGTGTCTTTACTGGGACTTGTTTGTTTGTTTGCACTGCTATAAATATGCTGATTTAGCTCTACCAGTTCAAATGCCAGAGGATGTTGTAAAAACCAGAACTTCAAGGCTGTCTACACTGCAACACTATTTCAAGATACCAAAGTATCCCAAAATAGCTATCCCATGACTTAACAGTGAGGAAGTTGGACACCAGGAAGAATCACAAGGAGGAACAAGCAACAAAGGAGGACCCCAATTCAGATGGAGAAGGCAGGGTGATCAACTGGTTATCTAAGGTGTTTGTACACCAATGCAAGAAGCCTGGGAAATAAACAGGAAGAATTAGAAGCCCTGGCCCAATTAAAGAACTATGATTTGATTGGAATAACGGAGACTTGGCGGGATAACTCGCATGACTGGAGCACTGTCATGGAAGGGTATGTTCAGGAAGAACAGGCGGGAGAGAAAAGGAGGAGTTGTTGCATTGTATGTGTAGCCCAAGGTTACATATGTAAGAGAGCAGTATGATTGCTCAGAGCTCCAGTACTTAAAGAGAGAAAAGACTGTTGAGAGTCTATGGGTTAAATTTAGAGATGGAAGCAACAGGGGTGATGTTGTGGTTGGTGTCTGCTATAGACCGCCAGATCAGGTGGATGAGGTAGATGAAGCTTTCTTTGTACAACTGAGAGAAGCTTCCAGATTGATCGCAGGCCCTGGTTCTCATGGGCGACTTTAATCACCCTGACATCTGTTGGGAGACCAATACAGCAGTTCATAGACAATCCAGGAAGTTTTTGGAGAATGTTAGGGATAACTTCTTGGTACAAGTGCTGAAGGAACTGACCAGGGGCCATGCACAGCTTGACCTGCTGCTCACAGACAGGGAGGAACTAGTTGGGGAAGTAGAGGTGTGTGACAACTTGGGAAGCAGTGATCATGAGATGGTAGATTTCAGGATCTTGACCAAATGAAGAAAGGAGAGTAGCAAAATATACACCCTGGACTTCAGAAGGGCAGACTTTGACTCCCTCAGAGAACTGATGGGCAGAATCCCCTGGGATGCTTACATGAAGAGGAAAGAAGTCCAGAAGAACTGGCAGTATTTTAAAGAAGCCTTATTAAAGGCACAGGAAGAAACCATCCCAATGCGCAGCAAGAAAAGCAAATATGGTAGGCGACCAGATTGGCTTACTGGGGACATCCATGGTGAGCTTAAACACAAAAAGGAAGTTTACAAGAAGTGGAAACTTGGACTGATGACTAGGGAGGAGTATAAATATATTGCTCGAGAATGCAGGGGAGTTATCAGGAAGGCAAAAATGCAATTGGAGTTGCAGCTGGCAAGAGATGTGAAGGTTAACAAGAAAGTTTCTACAAGCATGTTAGCAATAAGAGGGTGATCAGAGAGAGTGTGGGGCCCTTACTGGATGAGGGAGGTAACCTAGTGACAGATGATGTGGGAAAAGCTGAAGTACTCAATGCTTTCTTTGCCTCTGTCTTCACGGACGAGGTCAGCTCCCAGACAAATGCACTAGGCAACGCAGTATGGGAAGGAGGTAGACAGCCCTTGGTGGGGAAAGAACAAGTTAGGAACTATTTAGAAAAGCTAAACATACACAAATCCATGGGCCCAGATTTAATGCATCCGAGGATACTGAGGGAGTTGGCAAATGTCATTGCGGAGCCTGTGGCCATTATCTTTGAAAACTCGTGGAGATTGGGAGAGATCCCGGATGATTGGAAAAAGGCAAATGTAGTGTCCATCTTTAAAAAGGGAAGAAGGACAATCCAGGAATCTACAGACCGGTCAGCCTTACCTCAGTCCCCAGAAAAATCATGGAGGGGATCCTCAAGGAATCCATTTGAAGCACTTGGAAGAGGGGAAAGTGATCAGGAATAGTCAATATGGATTAACAAAGGGCAAGTCGTACCGGACTTAATCAACCATACTCTGATTAGCTTCTATGATGAGGTAACTGACTCTGTGGGTATGGGAAAGACAGTGGATGTGATATACCTTGACTTCAGCAAAGCTTTTGATACGGTCTCCCACAATATTCTTGCCAGCAAGTTAAGGGAGTATGGATTAGAAAAATGGACTCTAAGATGGATATAAAGCTGGCTAGGCTGTCGGTCCCAACGGGTAGTGATCAACGGCTAAATGTCAGGTTGGCAGTCGGTTTCTAGCAGAGTGCCCCAAGGATCAGTTCTTGGACTAGTTTTGTTCAACATCTTTATTAATGAACTGGATGAGGGGATGGATTGCACCCTCAGCAAGTTCACAGCTGACACTAAGCTAGGGGGAGAGATAGATACGTTGGAGGGCAGGGATAGGGTCCAGAGTGACCTGGACAGATTAAAGGATTGGGCCAAAAGAAATCTGATGAGGTTCAACAAGGACAAGTGCAGAGTCCTCCACTTGGGATGGAAGTATCCCAAGCATTGTTACAGGCTGGGGACTGAATGGCTAAGTAGCACTTCAGCAGAAAAGGTCCTGGGGATAACAGTGGATGAGAAGCTGGATATGAGTCAACAGTGTACTCTTGTAGCCAAGAAGTCTAATGGCATATTAGGTTGCATTAGGAGGAGCATTGCCAGCAGATTTAGAGAACTGATTATTCCCCTTTATTCAGCTCTGGTGAGGCTTCATCTGGAGCACTGTGTCCAGTTCTGGGTACCCCACTCATTTGGTCCAGTGGAGGGTGACCAAAATGATTAAGGGGCTAGAGCGCATGACCTATGAGGGGAGACTGAAGGATTTGGGTTTGTTTAGTCTGCAGAAGAGAAGAATGAGGAGGATTTGATAGCAGCCTTCAACTTCCTGAAGGGAGATTCCAAAGAGGATGGAGAGAGGCTGTTCACAGTGGTGGCGGATGGCAGAACAAGGAGCAACGGTCTCAAATTACAGTGGGAGAGGTCTAAGTTGGATATTAGGAAAAACTATTTCACTAGGAGGGTGGTGAAGCACTGGAATGGGTTACCTAGGGAGGTGGTGGAATCTCCATCCCTAGAGGTGGTTAAGTCTCAGCTTGACAAAGCCAGGCTGGGTTGATTTAGTTGGGATTGGTCCTGCCTTGGGCAGGGGGCTGGACTTGATGACCTCCTGAGGACTCTTCCAGCTCTATGATTCTATGATTCGAAGCCCGTTATTTCAGGCTCACTATTCCAACGTCCCCGTAAATCTCATTCCATGAGGAGTAAGGGATGTTTTGGAACAGTTCAAAAAAGATCTAGAACAGTTCAAAAAAGATCTAAATAAATTCATGGAGGATATACGTTCATCAACCACTATTAGCCAGGATGGGCCTGAATAGTCTCCCTAGCTTCCGTTTGCCAGAAGCTGGAATGGGCAACAGGGAATGGATCACTTGATGGTTACCTGTTCTGTTCATTCCCTCTGGGACACCTGGCATTGGCCACTGTCAGAAGACAGGACACTGGGCTAAATGGACCTTTGGTCTAGCCCAGTATGGCCATTCTTATGTTCTTACATACTCACAAGATTTGTGGGTTACCCTAATATGGCTTATCCCAGTAAGCTCCCAGAGTTATTTGCAATAGGGCAAGGTGCATTTTACAGCAATATAGAATGTCTCCATTTATTACTCCAGTGTACTTTCCCCTGGTTTAGACAACAGTTCAGTCTTTAAAGTGAAAGACTTACACTGAAGTTAGGCGAGTCATCTTTCTGAGGAGCCAAGACACTGGGATGCTCAACTATTCCCAGCTCCTTGCTTCTTGAACATAATCTTGAGAAAATTGGCATCTTCCTTTCATGCATGCTTTGACCTGCAGCGAAACAGTTAACAATCTTGACATTTATATATCACTGTGTCAATTTACCAGTTCACATTTTATACCTTCACAAGCATAAGGACTTAAGGTACATGGAGTTTACTGGCAGAGAAGCCAACAACCCATTAAAGAATGCTTGGATTCTGTATCACAAGATGGTGGCCAGCAGGGCAGCTCTGCTAGTGCACTCAGGCCCTGTATGAAAAAAACATATTATACTTTGCAACAGGGACCATCTTTCTGCTCTGCATTTGTACAATGTCTAGTACAATGGGATTTTAGGGAGGTCCTAAGAGCTATCACAACAAATACTTATTAAAAGTTATTCATATCCACTAACCCTCTTTTTAGTTTTCTTTTCCTTTCCACCACTTTCTCTACATCTTACATTAAGTGGGTAGATGAATGAGTTGGCAAATTTACTTTTAAAAATAAGCCATTTTTTAATTATCAGGGTGCTAAAAGGTATGGAAATACTAAAACATCTGTTTTATTATTCATACAGCATCATAACAGTACATAGTGCTTTCCAGAGAAGTACAAAACACATGTTCCTAACCCCAAGGATCTTACAGTTTAATTCAGACATGCCAGTGCAGGAGCTAAGTGACAGTGACTGGGATGAACAAGTATCAGAGGGGTAGCCGTGTTAGTCTGAATCTGCAAAAGCGGCGAGGAGTCCTGTGGCACCTTAACTGAAGTTCATCTGCTGAGCCACTGTTCATCTTCAAGTTTGACACAATCAACTCTGGATTAAACAAAGACTGTGAATGGCTTGCTAACTACAAAAGCAGCTTCTGCTCTCTTGGAATTCACACCTTCAGATCAGCTACTAGAAGTGGGCCTTATCCTCCTTGATTGGATCCACCTCGTCATCTCCAGCCTGATCCTGGCCTGCATATTTATACCTGCCTCTGGAAATTTCCATTACATGCATCTGACGAAGTAGGTCTTTGCCCACGAAAGCTTATGCTCCTACACTTCGGTTAGTCTATAAGGTGCCACAGGACTCCTCGCTGCTTTTTGGGATGAACAAAGCACACAAAAGTGACAGATCATTACCTATGCTTGTGCTGCATATACTTCTTTTGAGTTCCTCTTGTGGCAGTGGGCAGGGCAGTTGCATGCCCTGAAAACAGCTACTTTCAAGCTGGGATACTATATGCCTGGTTTCAGCCTCCTCTTCCTTTTTTTTTATTTAAGTCTGAAGTAAAAAACTTCCTACAAATAGCAGGATTGCAATGAAAAGATTGAGGGATTCTTAGCTCCAGCGGAACAAATCCTGCCAGTAAAATTCTTTGTCAGGTTATAAGGGCATTAGGGAGACGTAGGGGAAATATTTCATTAATTTTTATTTCCACAATTTGTGACACATTCATCTTCAGGACATGTGATAAGTTACACAAGGCACACAGTGGTCCACCCAAAATTAGTCATTTTGCAACTGACATGCAGCTGTGTTACCACCACAAATATCGAAGAGTGATGTTGCCAGAGTGTCAGTCGGTAATATAAAATCTGTTGAGCACAAACAAGAAAGGCAAGTAATCAAAGTGTTTACGTGACTTGAGTGAAGGGGGGGAAATGGCAATTTCATTTCAAATACATCTAGAGGTTTCTCATTAGGCCATGAAACTCACAGGTATGAATCACGAAAATAAATGTTCCTTGCCCTTAGGTGCAACACAGTTCTTACACAAGAGAAATGACCAATACAGCTCTTTCTCTCATCAAATTACTGAAGATGAAATGCATTTTAAAACAATTTCCTAGGTAGATTATACATTTAGCTACTTAAGAGGCGGCTTTTGGAAGGACTCCCATTTATTATTTTGAAAAGCAATGCTAGTGACTGCCAATAATTAAGCACCGTCCTGTTCATGTCTTTGCTTAGTTTATAGGCTTTGGAGCTGAGGCGTCCATGGCTAATAGCCAGTCACCCTATTGTTAACTTGAACTTATCTTTGAAAAAATTCAGTTAACTACAAAATGAGTTAACGGTAATGTCAGGTGGTATTTTTCAGAAAGATTTGGTTCTTTTTTATGCTGGTTTCTAGGGGTTGGAGGAGAGTGGGGTGAAGTTAAGGAGGAAACACAAGGGCTACTCTAGACTGGCATGATTTTCCGCAAATGCTTTTAACGGAAAAGTTTTCAGTTAAAAGCATTTGCAGAAAAGCGCGTCTAGATTGGCACGGATGCTTTTCCGCAAAAGCACTTTTTGTGGAAAAGCGTCCATGCCAATCTAGATGCGTTTTTCCGCAAAAAAGCCCCAATCACCATTTTCGCGATCGAGGCTTTTTTGTGCAAAACAAATCTGAGCTATCTACACTGGCCCTTTTGTGCAAAAGCTTTGCGCAAAAGGACTTTTGCCCAAACGGGAACAGCATAGTATTTCCGCAAGAAGCACTGATTTCAGACAGTAGGAAGTCAGTGTTCTTGTGAAAATTCAAGTGGCCAGTGTAAACAGCTGGCAAGTTTTTCCGCAAAAGCATCTGCTTTTGCGGAAAAACTTGCCAGTCTAGACACAACGAACGAGTTTATATCTATTATTTTGATTTGGTAATAAGGCTGAGAAACTAAAGTAAAGGCCTTGATCCTGAAAGCATTTCTATACTTATTCACATTTATATATGAGGTAACACCATTGAAATCATAAAGAAGTGGAAAGTCATTTTTGATCCACCAGTTATATAATATATATGGAGATATACCATCTCATAGAACTGGAAGGGACCTTGAGAGGGAGAAGCGGTGGATGTCATATACCTAGACTTTAGTAAGGCATTTGATACGGTCTCGAATGATATTCTTATTGATAAACTAGGCAAATATAACTTAGATAGGGCCACGATAAGGTGGGTGCATAATTGGCTGGATAACCGTAGTCAGAGAGTTGTTGTTAACGGTGCTAAATCCTGCTGGAAAGGGATAACAAGTGGAGTTCCGCAAGGGTCTGTTTTGGGACCCGTACTATTCAATATCTTCATCAATGATGTAGATATTGGGATAGAGAGTACGCTTATTAAGTTTGCAGATGATACCAAACTGGGTGGGGTTGCAACTTCTTTGGAGGAGAGGGACATAATTCAAAATGACCTTAGCAAGTTAGAGAAATGGTCAGAGGTAAACAGGATGAGGTTTAATAAAGAGAAATGCAAAGTGCTCCACTTAGGAAGGAACAACCAGTTCCATACATACAAGATGGGAAGCGACTGTCTAGGAAGGAGCATGGCGGAAAGGGATCTAGGGGTCATAGTGGACCACAAGTTGAATATGAGTCAACAGTGTGATGCTGTTGCAAAAAAAGCAAATATGATTCTAGGTTGTATCAACAGGTGTGTTGTAAGCAAAACTCGTGAAGTCATTCTGCCGCTCTACTCTGCACTAGTTAGGCCTCAGCTGGAGTACTGTGTCCAGTTCTGGGCACCACATTTCAAGAAAGATGTGGAGAAATTGGAAAGGGTACAGAGAAGAGCAACAAGAATGATTAAAGGTCTAGAGAACATGACCTATGAAGCCAGGCTTCATGAACTGGGCTTGTTTAGTTTGGAAAAAAGAAGATTAAGGGGGGACATGATAGCGGTTTTCAAATATCTAAAAGGGTGTCACAAGGAGGAAGGAGAAAATTTGTTCCTCTTGGTTTCTGAGGACAGGACAAGGAGTAATGGGCTTAAAGTGCAGCAGGGGAGGTTTAGATTGGACATTAGGAAAAAATTCCTAACTGTCAGGGTGGTCAAATATTGGAATAAATTGCCAAGGGAGGTGGTGGAATCTCCCTCTCTGGAGATATTTAAGAACAGGTTAGATAGACATCTGTCAGGGATGGTGTAGACAGAGCTTGATCCTGCCTTGAGGGCGGGGGGCTGGACTCGATGACCTCTCGAGGTCCCTTCCAGTCCTATTATTCTATGATTCTATGAATACCAAAATCCTGTGTGTATACTTACTAAACTTTAAAAGAAATATCAAATGTGATAATGTGTTACCTTACATTGTTACATTATTAAACCTAAAATACAAATATAAAAAATGGGGCTGGTCCAGCAATATCTGTAGTCCTTCTGGATCATGGATGTTGCTGCACCAGAGAGACCTGCATTTTAGAGGTGTAATGTGTAGTAAAATTTTCCTGGTTCTAGTGATATACAAAATTACAAAACTAAAAAAGCAACACACAAAACAAAAACACTACACCACCACCAAAATCAAAACCACACTATGTAAGCAAAATACAATTTTCAACTCTGCGGGCACACTTCTTTCCTCCATTCCTGTGAGATGCAGTTTTGCAACAAAAATTAAAAAAAATAAAGCTAGAGAGAAAGGATATTTTCAGGAATAGGTAGGCAGCATCCAAAATGCAGGCAATCGTTGTATAATATCCGTACATTTCTCTGTGAATTTAATTATTCCTTAAATTGGTGTACTTCACAAAATACCATGTGCCCTGTTGAGATGTTCTTAATGCATCAGGAAGAAGCTCACACTCTGTGTTCTGATTGCTTATAAAGAGAAACTGCTGCCTCTTTGGTCTTTTCCCAGAGGAGATGGGCAGTTTGCCAGTGTTTCATTTTCAAGGGCCATTGTTCACCTACGGCTTTAGCAAAAAGCTTTTGATTATTTATTACTAATCCTAGCCTAAGTAATGATCATTTTTAATCCTTTCACATTTCATAACAAATTTTTCAGACAATGACACCAAACAGTCACAAATAGCTCTGGCACTTCTTTTTTCATTTAGTAGGTAATTCCATATTTCACACATCCACCGAATTGCTTTATTAGTTGATGAAATTTGCCTTTATGAACATTCTGTTGACAAAATCTAAATCAGTTTTTGAGGATTCTTTTCAACAGAGTTTCATTAATTACAGTCCTGCCAACACAGCATTGGTGCAGGTAACCATGTTTATTGCATTACTTAATCCTTCTGACTGTGAATCTCTGCACCATACTGAGTATATTCATATATTCACAACATTCAATACTTATATGCATTATAGGTTTAGAGGAAACTTGTTTTACTAAATAACACTTGACATTTTATTGAAATAGTAGCAACACAAGAGCAACACAGAGTTTTTTTTTAAAACATGATTTTAGTGTGAGTGCATGCTGTGGTCTTCAGGTAAATAAATTTTGGAGAACCAGTTTAATCCCAGTCCTTTAAACCAAACAGCATAATTTGGTGTAATTGACTATGTTTGGGTAGGAGAGGCCCAGAACTGAGGAAGCATGGATGCCAGATGTCATCTTACACATTATAAACGGCAGGCTTCTGGCAGGCTCCTGGCTCTCGGAGCCCTCCGGCTCCTCCTCCTCGGTGTCCAGGACCGGTCCCTTTGCCCCGGGGTCGATGACCACAGGCATGGCGTTAGCCCCCAGGATGCGGTCCAGGGCGTGAAAGTGGGGGCAGGCCTCCAGGTCGGACCCTGGTAGGCAGGCCCGGGAGTAGGACTGCCGCA